GAAAGTTTGCCAATCTAGCGACTTTCGGAATGAACACGATGTCCCCCAATCCCTTCTTCATCCCCTCTTACCTGAGGCATTCTCGATACATGGCAAAGTTGGAAGCGGCCCACAAGGCTAAGGTGAAGAAAGAGCGTGAGCAACCATCGGGAGGGCCTTCCGCGCTCAACTCGTTTCCTACAAGTGCTGGAAATACAAGATTGGCACCCTCCCACCGTGGCATGACTTACGACATAATTGAAAGCAATCCGCCCAAAGAAGAGGACGTGTTACCTCCGTTGCCTTCCAGGTGGAGCGAGCAAGACAAATACCCAGGGTTGGATATAATCGATGGGCAAGACCTGAAATACAGTGGTTCAGTAAGCAAGGCCGATATTGAAGCAGCGTCTGTCAGAACGGATCATGCAATGCCACTTGCTTGCGGGATATACTATTTCGAGGTGGAAATTAAACAGAAGAGCAAGGAGACAGCTATCGCTATTGGGTTTTCCACAAATGAAGCGTCGCTTGAGCGTTTACCGGGCTGGGAGACTCAATCCTGGGGATATCACGGGGATGATGGAAAGATGTTTTTCGGGGAGCATTCAGGTCGAAGCTATGGCCCAACCTTTGGCGCAGGCGATGTCATTGGTTGTGGAATCAACTTCAACACCTGTCAGGCTTTCTTCACCAAGAATGGACAGGATCTCGGTATATGTTTTCGGGAACTGAAAAAGGATGCGAAATTATACCCCACGATTGGTATGAAAAAACACTCGGGCGTGTTGTTAGCAGGCAACTTCGGTCAGCGGCCTTTTGTCTTTGACATTGATGATAAGATGATATCTGAAAAGGCGAATTTGTCAAGAGAGATTGCGAAGGCCAAAACCACATCATTACGGCCGCAAGCGGACGAGGATACCCTGATTCAGGAGTTGGTGGCACATTTCTTAGCTCACGACGGCTATGTCGAAACGGCGAAGGCGTTTGCGGAGGAGATGCGAAGAGAAAAGCAATCGTTGAACAATGCCCTTCCTTCCAACGTGGCGACACCTGGCGATCGGGACGACACTGACGCGGTACACCGACAACGTGAGTGAGATGCTCTCTATTCACTAACCTTGATGCTGACCAATATAGGGATACGGCGTGCAATCCTGTCCGGGGATATCGACCAAGCTCTAGAGATCACTCACGCACAGTTTCCTACCGTTCTAGTAGAAAACCCAGACATTGTTTTCCGGCTCAAATGCCGGAAATGGATCGAACTCATTGGCAAATCGACCGAACTCGATACCTCCAAACATCCAACTGGGCATGAACGGAAAGCGAGCGGCAGACTGGAGAACACCTCCGGGGTAGATGACGATTTCGCCCAAGACATGGAACTTGACGAGCAGCCCAACGGCGACAGTAGCGCTAATGGCGTGGGCAAGTCACGGGCTGATGACGGAGCTTTACAGCACGATCAGCTGCTCAACGAGGCGATGTTGTACGGTCAAGAACTGCATAGGGAGTTCCGCGACGAGGATGGGGATTACGCAAAGACACTGCAGGACATTTTCAGTCTGGTGGCATACGACGACCCCAGAGGCAGTGTGAATGGACATCTCTTGGACCCTGCCGGCAGAGTTACAGTCGCGGAGGAGCTCAACTCTGCCATTCTAGGTAAGCCCTTTACGCCGACCTTTATCATCACTTACTGACGGCTGGCAGTGTCGCTCGGACGTTCCCCCTCAGCTGCCCTGGAGACGGCGTGGAAGCAGACAGAGGCTTTGATCGATGTTCTTAGCGAAGATGGAGGCCCAGCTGCATTCGCCAATCTCCAAGCAACGTTCTCGTCTTGACCACCGCTAGCGAAGTCGGTGGTTTACTATCGTCGTATCACCTCATAGGAGGCCTATCTGGTCGTGCAGCATTGCCCGGGGGTTGGGAGGACTCAGCAGAATGGTGCTACGCTCTATGGATCTGTTGTTCATCGGGGACTTTGTTGGCAGCGGACATTCATCTCATGGCAGGCGGCGCTCGCGAGTTGAGGGATTACCGAATAGTTTTGACCGCCTCAGAACGGAGTTACGAGTCCCATAGGGCATGGGCAGGGAACATGGAATATACTCTCCACATGTATTCAATTTGTACCGCATGATAGACGAAAGTATCGGCAACGCTAAGAAATGGCTGACCCGAGCCAAGTTTTGCAATTTGTCTGTCACCTTTTATGCAACAACAGCATTCGCTGCCGCCGCCGCTGCTTGTAGTCCTGCTACTTTGCCCTCGAGCACGCAACCCAATGCTCTCTCCAATGCCACCACAAACGCTACCTGGATCTGCGCGTCGGACTGCTCCTCGACGAGCTGTTCCTCGTTCAGTTTCCTTTCGTGCAATCCCATGTCTCCGAGCTGTTTGTTCCGGTGAACCTCGTCGATGATCATGGCCCGCAACTGCTCTGCGTCGTCGACGGGGATACCCACCTTTCTGACCGCGTCGAGGGCCTTTGAGTCCGCATACGGCCATACGGCACCGCCCCACCCGTCCACGCACTGGACCCTGCGACAGAAGATTTCGCCGCCCGTGACGGCCAGGCCGGGCACCGTGGACTTGATGTGCTCAATGACCCCGTGCGGCCCGCCATCATTCGCCTCCTCGGCGAGCTGGAACATGGTCTCGGAGTCGCTGTAGAGCTCTGCGGTGCGGAAGACGTACGACGCCGTCTTCTGGCGGTGTTGCGTCCGCGCTGCTTCGAGGGCGTCCCACACCCCCTGCTCCCCTGCCGAGATGATGGCCTCGGGCGTGTCCAGGCTGAAGGGTTCGTTGAGCAGGGTGCGGATGCTTCTCATGCCCAGAGTGTGGGAGAGGGGCTTGGAGAGCATGTGTGCGCAAAGCAGGTGCTCAAAGGGCGTGAAACTTGCTGGGGATGTCAGAGAATAGGACTTGTACCCTTTGGCCGTCCTCCCGGCGTCGTCGAGTTCGTCCGCGGGAAAACAATAGGGCATCGCTGGGCCGGAGAGAAGGAATTTGAGGAGTTGTTTTGGCGAAGCCGCAGTCTCGGTGTTGCGAGGTGGACCTTGTCGTGGCACCTTGGTGTCTGCTTCAGACTGGGAGGAATCAGTCGGCGGATCCTTGCGCTTCTGGCCAGCATGTGCAGAATCTTCGTTTGGCTCCTTGTGCTCTGGCTTCGTATCCTTCTCCCCTTGATCTTCGAGGTCGGCATCAGCGACTGGCTCTGGTTCCTCGAGCGAAGCGTTATTCTCCTCTTCGGCCTCTTCCTCGGCCTCTTTCTCCTTGTGCGCCATCACGAGATGTATGTCGTAGAGTAGCAGATGGAGGTTAATTCAAAGGCAACAATGAGCTCCCCGTTGTTTCTGGACCCAGAGACACATTGAAAATCTAGAGACCTAACACATTTTTCATCCTACATCTTCTCATCTTGCTTTCGTGTCCACTCGCTAGGAACCCCAATGGGATAGTCATGACGTATAAGAGGAGGGGACCTGGGGAAAGTTTCAATAGCGGGCGACATGAGCGGAAGGCCGATGACCTGTCAAAGTCCGTGATGGCTTGAAAGAGCCTCCCCACCGAGGATTTCCACAGGGTGATATGTATTCTGGCCTTTAAAGTACGTATCCTCGGCGGATGAACGTGTATAGGACGTGTCGGGACGCACAAGCGGCATAATCCCTTCTTTTTGGCTTTCGCTAGACTGCGGTTGAGAGGTGCGGGTGTGTTCAATTGACCGAGGGCCCACGGCGCTTCTCGCATGCCGCCTCCTCGCTACTGAAAGCGATCACGGCTATGTGCCGAGTGTGAGGTACATGGTTGGTTGGTCGGCAGGGGTCGAAGGTCTAGACACGACAATCAGGTTCATACGATTCCTTTTCGGCTGCATTCTGGCCCATCGTGCCAGCGAATCAATGAGAGCTCGATAGCGAGGCGGGATATGCCTTGAGGTAGTACGATGTTTGGTGAGGTCCTGAAGGGCGTGGATATCAAAGAGCGCAGGCCATTAGAATCCACTTGTGAATGGCGAGTACCTACGAGGACATCAGGTACCTAGCTAAGTATGAGGTCCAGGCGGCCCTGGCGACCATGATCAAGACTAGGTGCCACTCAGGTGCGTCTAGCTAACGTTGACTGGGGGAGGCTCTCCAGGCCCAAGCATCCCTCAGGTCTCACACCAGATCCAATGACCACCTATTTCACTTTGCTTCAGAAGTACCTCGTCCAAGCACAAGATACCTTTCGCAGTGGTACCCGCGTTTACCTTTGGCGCTGCTAAAGCGTGCTCACACTCAACCCTCCAAGGAGTGAGGAGAAAAGAATTTAAATACCTGGGAGAGCTTTGGTCTCTTTACGATGTGCCTGGGCTTTAGACGTTCATCTGCACGATTTAACCTTAGGTTCATATCTCGAAACTTTTTCCGGGTCATCATGTTACTGGATACCGGGACACCACCTGAAGAAGAGTGGGAGCATCTTGCGAAGAGGTTGCAAACCCCAGCTGCGGATGGATCCAGCGGGCACCTCAGTTACCTACCTGGATACTTGGCACCCACTTGGTTAGGCAGGTGGTTGGCTCTAGCGTCCCTCCCCCGGACATTCTTAGTCCCGACACCTCTACCGAGTACTGAATTCTGGGGGGAGTTCAAGGGCAACCCTTGCCCCAAACCTTGGCCCCAACGGCCACCCAAGGACCATTTGTGCACATATCTACTGTCCTTATGAAGCACAAGTGCCACTCGCAGCCACCAGCTTGCTCCCCGTTGTCCCCCCACGAAAAACCCTCCCCGCCGCCAAGCTCGGGGCCAGATCTCATGAAATTGTCAGTTTCTTTCTTGCCTCGGTGTCCTACATACCTTTCCCCCAAACCCACCTCTACTCCCGACCTTATTTCAACCCATCTTAGTTGTTAGTTTGATTCCAGGACACAGCAGACATCAGTCGAACTCTGAACCATGGAACCACAAGGAGACGATATGTCTCCTCCTACCCAAACGAGCACTACTACCTCGAGAGCAAGTAGGATGTCCCCTGCACGGCTTGCGAGAAAAAGAAAAGCCGACCGGGAATCGCAAAAAGCCTCCCGCCTGAAACAGAAAAACTATATCGCGCATCTGGAGGCCCTAGTCAAGTCGTTGGATGCTTCTGCGGGCTCTGAGCCTGTCGAGCTGCTCAAACGTCAAGGCGCCGAAAATATCGAGATCAAGAAGGCCCTCACCACCATCTGCAGGATCGCCCAAACGGCCCTGGGCGTCGAAGTGGGCGACGGTCAATATATGGGCACTTCGTCTTCGCCCGAGCCAATGACAGATCAAGCAAACGTCAAAGAGATGAAGCATGATCCCCCGAAAATCAGCGAAATCCAGCCGTTTCAGCCGACCAAGATGGATTACGAGACGGAACCTGGCAAATGCGTGGGTGAAACAGACGCGACTCTCCATCCCATCGTTTCCCAAACAGATGGTGCCGGGTTTTCATCAATGTTTACAGGAGAGGACGCAGATCTGGGAGAGTTCATTCACGACGACCTTCTGGACTTTTCGGTCCGGGAGCCGGTCGCTCCCCAGACCTTCGAGTCGTCAGACATTCTCTATGTCAGAGAATCAACGTCCATGAATGAACCGACCCCTAACTCTTGGCCGTTTCCGCCCATCTCGGAATCTTTACTTATACGCTCCCTCCGAACGGGGGCTGGAGGCCGGGATTGGGTAACTACGGTGAACCTGCTGGCTTCCCCGGTTTTGTACCCACTTGAACCACCGGAGGATGCGCTCGATGGAGATATTGCAATTACAGCAGTCCTGCGTGGCTGGAACGCTGTCGAGGCACGAGGGCCACTGGATCATGGGTGGAAGGTACTTCGCGAAGTTGACCAAACCATTTTTCCCAGATGTGGTATTGCGGAAAGAATGGCCGTCTTGCGGATGATGAGGCTGATGTGCCAGGTACGATCTTGCAACCCTAGGAAAAAACCGTTTTCTCTCTCCACATACATTGCTCACTGACGGACCTACAACAGTACGTGACGACGGCTGAACAGCGACCAGAGCTACCACATTTTATGCTAAGACGGTTCGTGACAGTCTATGCCTTGCCGTCATCGTCCTGCGCTTTACTAATTGCTGCTTTATTATAGCCCGTGTCAAGAACACATCAAGCATCATCCAATGATTGATTATCTCGTCTGGTAAGGGTCTATGTCTCCCTCTATCAGTCACATCAACTCGGTGCTTGCCGAGGTGGATGGGCAAAAACGACTTGTTCTGACTGACAAGTGCAAAAGGCCCGGAGTCCGCGAAAGATTGATCTTCTCACCACACAAGTTCGCTGCCAATGCAGACCGATACGCTGAGCTTTTCAGCTCCAACTTTCGCTTTCTGTGGCCGTTCGAGCCCGAGGACATCTACTACCGGGACCCAGACACCGGCCTATATGCATTCTCGGAGCAGTTTATCGGGCGCACAGAGGATCTCGCCTGCTGGACAATGCACAATGACTATTTCGTCGCCTTGCCAGAGTTACGCGGCGATATACCCGGGTTCCCGCAAACTTCCATTTACACCCTGCAACCTTCGGTGTCACAACAGGCCGTGGTCGTTCAGCGAAAGACTTTGACGAGGCCGGGAGACAGCCAGGAGTCTTCACAGAGCGAGAAGTGCTCGGTCAACATGGACTTTGCTCATACCATGTGGGGGAGAATGCCACAAGTGTCTTGAAGGGATTGGCATGCTGGAGACGAGGAGTAGAATACGAATATACGATACCCACTATGATTCTCGAAAGTCTCTCATGATTTAAGATCATCGTTTGTTTATCGGTGACCAATAGCATGGCCTTATCAAGGTCTAGTCCTTGTTTAACTTGTGCCTATGTCACGCCCCAGGCCCTATGTTCAGCTACATGGTTTAAATGGTCGTCCTCGAATCCACCACTATCCACCTTCACGACCCTGGTTCTCCTTAGTCCTTCAGGGAAAGTCCTGCACTTGAGTGATCTGAGCGTGGCTCCTTGTCAATCACTTCCGTATCCTCTCCACTACCCGGTAAGCCAGGATTTCAAGGCTCTTTCGCTTTCTCCTTGACATGTTTTGGGCACTTCCGGCTACCAGACCGACCGACTTGGCCAATGCTTGTCTCTAGCTAAGCACGTCGCCACAACCGCCTGGAAGGTCCCAATTTTATGTCCCCCCATCAGTTTAGTTGAAGCGGAAAGGACAGCCAATGATCGCGGCACCTCCTTCGGCGGCGTACGATCTCATCGCCTCTGCCTCTTTCAGGACGGCATCCCGCGACATGTTCTCGAACTTGGCAGGGCCCAGCTCCTCGGGCAGGTAGCCCTCGCTCTTGAATTTCGGGCCGGGGATGTATTGAGAGCCACCAGACAGCAGTGCCGAGAGTTTGTGCCACACGGTGTCCTTGACGTACCAGGGCTCGATGCTCTGCTGTTTCACCGGGTGGAGACGGCCGGATTTCTTGTCCGCTTTGGCCAGAGGATCGATCGGTCGCAGGCGCGGGAGGAACAAGTTGCGCACCACGAAGGCGCGGAGCCGGAAGAACCGGTAGACAAAGACCTCGATGGTGCGCGAGGCGGCGGGGTATCCCAACGCGTTGCGCGTCCTCTCCTCCAGCAGGGCCATCATGACTTTGCGGAAGAAGCCGCGCAGCGGGGGCGAGACGTGCTTGAGGAAAAAGTCGACCGAGACGTCGGCGCATTTGCGGTTGTTGTCCGAGTAGACCATGGCCGTCTGCTCGTATTCCTCGGTCCACTCGGCCAGCTTCTCGATGGTCGGCGGGATGTCCTTGATGCCCATGCGGTTGCCGACTTCCTTCCAGTAGACGAACATGGCGACCTGTTCCAGGTACGTCAGCTTGCGCCACTCGTACGTGTTGACCCAGCGGATGCCCTCCATGATGTTGACTCCGAGAGTGTGCAGCATCTCGGGCTGCGTGATCTTGTCACCGTACTGCCGGTGTATCCAGTTCATCTTGGCGAGGGCTCGCGACCCGCGCTCGCTGTCCATGGACCCGACGACAAACTCGGTCGTGATGAGCGCCGTGTCGTTGATGCGTCGCCCCACGTTGGGGCAGGCGCTCAGTTGACGCGTCTTTGCGAGCAGCTCGGTCCCCGAGGCGATGGCGAATGTCTTGAGGAGTGAGAACTGTCCGCTGAACGCAAAGATAAAAGGGCAGTCGTAGAGCATGGACAGGTGCATGATCTTGTGTGCCGCCTTGTAGTCCATGGCATAGGGCTCCTTGAGGAGATGGGCATACTCGCGTTCCAGCTTGCGCAGCGCGCGGAAGCGCAAGGCTCGGACGAGAATCAGATATCCGAGGACGCCGATGGCTATGGTCCACGCGTATGGAAAGTCGTGGAGGGCTGCTACCTTGGGGAGGCGCAGGGACAGGAAGTCCACGGCGTCTGCTTGGACTCCCATAGTGATAGTGACCGGGGTGGTTTCAAACGAGGTGTGATCACCCACCACGAAGCGTAGAAAATATGTTAGTTTTTTATGAAGATGACGCTTTTGGCAAAAGGCTTCGTGTTCGTGAAGCCTCAAACCCTGCTTTGTATGTATACATTATGTACCCATACTCGTGGCTAGACATGTTGTCACGGACAGAGTCTCCTTGACACGCCGGCACTGAGCAGTCCCGGAGCCGATGGGACCCGTACCCTGTCAATACAATGCACTCGAGACCATCGGAACATGTTGAAATACGAGATCCAGACTGCATAGGTCCAAGTCAAGCAGTCGACGTCAAGCTTGTGTACCGCCAAGCAACGACCATGTCAGAGAGACGGAGTCAACCAAGCCCCACCAAGATCCAGAAGTGGGTGTAATCAAGGCTTATGCTATTGGCTGTTTCTTTAGTCGTATGTGGGTACCATCACTAGTGCGGACCCCCTATCCGTAAGAAGGTGCTTTGGGTACTCGTACTTGTGTTCTCGAGTCTCAACCTGGGCTCTCACATCGAAGGACTCGGTACACGTCTTAAACGTCGGGTTTGCGTAGATACACATTCCGGTCCCACTGCAGCTGCTCACACCCCGTCCGCGGCCTTTTTCAAGGTCATTTGGAGCAAAGGGTTCTCGTAAAGCCATGAACTTGGGGCAACACTCACCCTGTCCATGTCGAAGTGCACCGCACAATTTGGTATCCATAGATTTGTGAAAATGAGCAAGACACACGATCTAACAAAGATCCCGATGACCTCTCACAAATTTCATCTACCAACGGCTTCCTCGATCTGACCGTGCCCTCGCCACGCTGCCTCGCCACAATGCCATATGACACCAAGGAAGAGATTCTGGCTCTCGGGGTCATTGACCCTGAGCTGAAAGCTGTATGTTTTCCACGACTCCGATCTTTTGCTGGAGTCTGGTGTTTGTAAAACTCGTTGCTGACGGGAAATGGGACCAGCTGCTCGAAACCAACCCCCCTCCTCCCATGACATTCACCACTATGCAGGCTCTCCGAGAAGACGTCAAAACGCGTACTCTACAGGCGATTGACGCGCTGGGCCCACCGCTGCCCTCCGTCAAGCAATCCGACATCAGCTACAGAACTGCGGACGGGACTGAGTTGCGCGCCCGACTCTACCAGCCCACCTCACCGTCGGATGACGGCAGTCCGTTGATTGTAATGTTTCACGGGGGTGGTTTCTGTCTGGGCATTCCCGAAGCCGAAGAAAAGGCGTGTCGAGAGTTCGTACAGGCATTCAACGCTGTATGTGTTTCGCCTGCCTACCGGCTTGCACCTGAATTTCCCTTCCCCCAAGGGCCCAAGGATGCGTGGGACGCGCTGAAATGGGCCGCGGAAAGCGCCTCGTCCTGGGGCGCCGATCCGGCCAAGGGCTTCATTGTCGGAGGATCGTCTGCTGGCGGTAACCTGGCCTGTGTCGTGACGCACTTGGCCCGCGATGAAGGCCTGAGTCCACCTCTGACGGGACACTACCTGTGCATCGCAGGATTGGTTCCTCCGTCACGCATGCCGGATAAGTACAAGAAGTGGGCGTACAGCTACGAGCAAAACAAGTCAGATCCGATTAATGGGCAGGCCGTGATCGATATCTTCAACGCGGCGTACAAGCCCGATCTTGACGATGGCATCTACAACGGCCCTCTGATCCACCCCAAGGGCCACGCAGGTTTGCCACCGGCGTTTTTGCAGGTCAACGGGTCAGATACCTTGCGTGACGACTCGCTGATATACGAACGGATATTGCGGGAAGAGCATGGTATCAAGACGAAGCTGGTCGTCTATCCGGGTCTCCCTCACGCCCACTGGGCTTTCTTCCCTTCTTTGAAAGCCAGTGCACAGTTTTGGGCGGACCAGTTAGAAGGGATGGGATGGCTATTGGGGAAGACCCCTGCCCCGGCCAAGATCTGATGTAGCTGTTCCACAGAAGTGGCAATAAACTTTGTAGTGTACCTACTCGTACCGAGAGTCCCCCGTGCCGAGACTAGAATACAAGCTCATTTCTTGGGGGTCTAGCTTTTATCCTCGCTGCACCATGTGCCAAGTTGAACCCCCGTCCCGATCTCTGGGCATTATGAACCTGTTCTCGACCATGATTGGGTCAAAGATCCAATCTGGGGTATACTCGCACCATGTCTGTGGCTGACATAGGCGGGATTATCGCGGGATTATCGCGGGGTATATCAAAGGACATATGTATTCACGAGGAGCCCCCACATTTTTCATTGAATCAGGGGGTTTGTTCAATCTAGCCCTCTCTCTCTCTGTCCACATTTCCTTTTTTCCCTTACCCCAGTAGCAGCCTCTCTGTTCCTAGGCTGAGAGATCCCCAGCTATTAGACTATTGACTCGTCTCCATGACTCGCGCCGGAGAGTCGCCTGGGGTGAGTCAAAGCTGCTGTATACGCGCTCCGGCTGCAAGGGTGGGTTATCTTGCCGTCATGTCTAGGTAGGTCGACATGGCACCCCATGGGTCCTGGTTTAGCTTTTTATGCTTGTCGTCTAGAGGCGTCAAGCCCCAGACAATTTCCCCGGACCATTTCTTTTTCTTCACAGGAATTCGAATTGGTTATATCCCGCGTTTCTTCCCACCCCCAGATTTCCTGTATTTGTCACATCGTCTATTCAGAGAGGACTGTCGACAACATAGACGTTTTTCTTTTGATTCTGCACTTTGGAAAGGACGTTTGAGGATCACAAAACAGAAAAGAGGACTTCAACGCAGATATCTACCCATCCCGAAATGGATTCAAAGTCGGGGTCTCTCGTCAATGAATCAACTACCAACACGGATACGGTCCATCTCGAACGTCTCGCTGTCGACGAGGAGAAGCATGCAGGCAGTCTGCAGGTCGAAGACGCCGATTCCCTAGAAAAGAGCCAGAGCGTCGATGTGGACGTGACGAATCGAGACGCCATCAAAGGCGACGAGTCGGATGGCAAAGTCGACTGGACGTGGATTCAGATCACCGCCACTGTCTGCCTTTCAGGCCTCTACGTCGGTACGTATGGCCTTAGATCTCACGAGCTACTTGAGCGACCTGCAATCATCCTGACACTCACACTGACACTGACACTCTGTATCTCATCTATTCCAGGCTCTCAGATCCCGCTCTACTTCTTGGGTGGCACTTTGACCTATATCTCGGCCGATCTGGGTGGCACCGAGGCGTCCGCATGGCTACCAGTGTCCTATTCCCTCGCCCTCGGTGCGGTGACGCCCTTCTGTGGCTATCT